AAAAAGTTTGAAAGTTTAAAACCTATGAAGATTATGCCATAGAACCATGTAATTCATTTTCTTCTTCTTAGTGTACTCCTTGCTATAAGAGACCGACTCACTACCTAATTTACACAGCTCTGATCTTGAAGTCTATAATTTTCTAACCCCCCCAACTAATGTTTTCGTTCCATTAGATTATTGAGGGTAATCATTGATGACAGGTATAAAGCACAATAGGATTACTGGATAATCACTAGGATTTACTGTCCTCTTGTTTTGTTTTGAGATTATAAAAAAGAATGTCATAAATTATTTCATGAGACAATACACGGCTGTAAATCTTGAAGATTAACATAGAGATGTACTGAACGACTGAAAAATATTACAATGGTTAAAGATCAGAGACATGTGGCCTATGGGAAAAAGACAGACAATCCAGAACTTGTTATAATACAGTGTAAATGTACAGTATCAAGAGTACAGATTCCATCTCTTGGGAGGAAAAAATGGTCTGTTCAGTGATTAAAGCATATGATTGGGACACAGCCAACTGGCAGATTTTCTATGGGATTGCAACCTAATCACTTACAATCGAGTTTTTAAAGAGGGCCATTGATCCCAGCCACGGGGGGCGAGAGCGGCGCCTTCCCTGTCCTCGGGCGAGCCTTTGCCACGGCACTGCAAGCCGCCTGGGCTGGAACCCGTGCGTGCCCTGCACCCTTGTGCACTATGGCCCCCGTGCAGGGCACTGCCCCCAGCCAGCTGGGGCGTGCTCACGGGGCCCCCAGCCTTTGCCACGGCACTGCAAGCCGCCTGGGCTGGAACCCGTGCGTGCCCTGCACCCTTGTGCACTATGGCCCCCGTGCAGGGCACTGCCCCCAGCCAGCTGGGGCGTGCTCACGGGGCCCCCTCGCACACGCCCCCAGGTTGCATCCAAGGCAGGTGAGTTGGGTCAGGGGCATGCTAGGGAACGAGGCATTTGGGGTACGAAAAGCCCCCCCCCCGGAGCAGTACACTGAGCCGTGCAGTGCAGGCAGGGCGAGGGGCACCGGGCTGGAATCACAGGTATCAATCAAGAGTCATCTTGTGAGTCTGAGAACAGAATTTTCCTTTGGTCCCATTTTTAAAAAATTGGCCACAAATCTGCTTTTTTTGGCTGGTAAGTAGAATGGAAGAGTGCGTGGAAACAACAATTGCATTGGCAGTAGCAGTGTATAGTTTATTTTATACAAAAATAGCCTCAAGTCTGTGTTTAAAAAATAAGATGGGTAACAGAGAGAGATCAGCCTAATTGATTTCCTTTAAAATAAAGGACCGAGCACCGTCTAGACCAGCGGTTCCCAGACTTTTCCGTATCACGTCCCCTTTTTGATTTTTGAGAAACTTGAGCGCAAAAAAAAAAAAAAAAAAAAAAGGAACTGACCGTGGCCGAAAAACAAAAATAGCAAAACTTTGGGGGGGATTGAAGGGGGGGTCATCTTGCGCCCCCCTCCGGAATTTCTTCATGCCCCCCAGTTTGGGAACCCATGGTCTAGACTATGGGTTCCCAAACTGGGGGCTGTGCCCCCCCGGGGGGCATGAAAAAATTCCAGGAGGGGTACTACTCCCCTGTTTTGCTGCTACTTTTATTTTTTGGACCCGGTCAGTTTTTTTTTTTTTTTTTGCTCAAGTTTTGCTGCTGTTGGGGCGGGGACGTGAGAGTTTCTCAAAAATCAAAAAGGGGGCGTGATGCCGAAAAGTTTGGGAACCGCTGGTCTAGACCATCCCTGACAGGCGTCCGTCCAACCTGCTCCTCAATATCTCCAGGGATGGCGATTCCACAACCCCCCCAGACAACTGATTCCAGTGTTTCACCTCCCTGGCAGGCAGGAAGTTTTTCCTCATGTCCAACCTAAACCTCCCTGGCTGCAGTTCCAGTTCATTGCTGCTTGTCCTGTCCTCGGAGGCCAAGGAGAACAATTTTCCTCCCTCCTCGTGACACCCTTTTAGGTCCTTGAATACCACTGTCATGTCCCCTCTCTGTCTTCTCCTTTGCCAACTAAACAAGCCCAATTCGTTCAGTCTGCCCTCCTAGCTCGTGTTCTCTCGACCTTTCACCATTTTTCTTGCTCTTCTCTGGACCCTCTCCAATTTCTCCACCTTTATTGAAATGTGGTGCCCAGGACAGGACACGATCCTCCGCCTGAGGCTGAGTCGGCGCAGGGTAGAGCGGGAGAACGACTTCTGGTGTCTTGCTCACCGCTCTCCGGTTAATGCCCTCCTGCCGGCCTAGGCGCTGTGTGCACAAGTCATGGTCTCACGCTCGGGGCGGTGCCGCCGGGCCCCACAGCGAATAGGAAATCAGACCGCAGAAGGGTTCTCCTCCCGCTTTGCGGCAAGGTGGCGGGCACAGTGCGCGTGTCCGGCTGCTTTGCGGTCTGCGTCACACCCGCCTGTCCTGTCCCTTCCTCTTGGGTGTGTGGCTTCTTGCCCTGGCGGCCTAGCACAGACGGGCGCTTGGCCCAGGCCGATGTCCCCAGGAGCAGGATCCCCCCCCCCGGCGCCGTGTGGCCACAGCAGCTGGATGCCGCAGGGCCCCGTGGGGGCAGAGGGGCGAGGCACCTGCTCCGCTGTGCCACACTGATACCACAGTGCCCGGCCGCTCAGGACAAACCCCAATTCCCTGCGCCAGGCTGCAGGGCCGCTCTCCGCTTCTCTAAGGAGCGGGGCTTCCCACAGTGGCACTGGGCACGGCTCTGCTCGGCTTCCTGCTTCCCCCCACGTTTCTCACCACTGGTGGGCTTGGCCGCTCTCGGTGGCCACAGACCGACAGCTCGGCTTAAGGACGGGCCAGGGTGCTGGACTGGGTGCGTGAAGACACCGGGCCGGGTTGTGCGTGTCTCCGGGCAGACAGGAAAGCCGCCATCTCTTGGCAGCACTTTCCCGAGCGCACGATCAACCCAGTTAACCTCCTGGCTCTCTGTGCCGCCAGCATAAAGGATTAGGGCTCTTCGCCGAACGTTACGTGCCTGAATAAGATTGGATTCAAAATAGACGGGAAACACATCTGTAACCTGAGTCCCCCGCCACCTCCCACGCAACCCGCTGGACACAGAAACAGCCGGGTGGGCTTAAAGTCGCTGCTACCGTTCCTGCCCCAAAAGGTGTGGCAAGAAGAAGAAAGGGGATTTTTTAACTCTACGAAAACAAAGGCTGTTCTAATTTATGAAGAGCTACCAGGGCGAGCTGCTAAGCCAACACAACCTAAGTGAACCCCCGCATGAACCGAAAGAACCAGAAACCTTTAAAATAACTGCATCCTTTAATGGCAGTAATACAATCGTAGAGGGATAAAGAGCTCACAGGAGAAATATAGATGACATTTTTGGAAGACAAATGTACAATTAAAAAAGGGGAAAAAAACACAAAGCCATGCAACAAAACATTGTAAAAATACCAATATATACATATTTGCATCAACACCTTCAATTCTGAAATAGTATTTACAGTTTATTACAATCTCAATTTAGAGCATTATTTTTTTTCTCTTAAAGCTCTGGCAGATGGAAAAATATTACTGGATTAGACAGATGATGTTTTACATTAGGGGGAATATATTCCAAAGTAGAGCATCGTCATGTTTCATATTCTGGACAGGGTGCAAACATTTCTTCTTGTATGTTACAAATGTTTAGGGTTCTGGTACAAATGCCACTGAATTTACATCCCTCTCGCGAAAAGCAACCTCACAGGGCAAAAAGCGACACAAATGATTTATTTCACTTCTCTCTTTTTTGTTACAGTGATACCAGCCAAACTCCAAAGCCATGCGTTTGCACGTGAAGAGCTGAGGCTGACCCAGGAGAAAGCATGACAAACTTCAACAGTGCGCTACCCTTCACACACTGATGCCACACTGATTCACTGGCAACACAGCCAGGGAGAGATGCAAGCAGAAAGTGAAATGGGAAATTCCCATCTCCATTGGACATGCACAGAACAGCTCTGGAAACCAGTTGGGTTGGGTGACATTGCTTAGGCTAAGTTTGGTACAACTTTTCGCCTCCCATTAAAGTGGGGTGCAGGAAGAAGTAAACCCCATCACCTCCACAGAGAAGATAATTAAATGAACACCACGCCATCAATGTAACAGAACTGGAGTCCAGACTTACTTTGTTTTACATGGAAGCATTATTTTGGGCATTATTCAAGTGGGTCCTCTCAGACACGCCAACCCAAAGCACACCAATTCTCTGAAGAACTCTTTCAAAACATATTTTCGGGGAGTTTTTAAGCTGTTGTGCCACTGTGGGGGCAATTCCTCCTCACCCAGCCATGCAAGCAGCTGATAAAAGCTTTTCCTCACCCACGACTCCTTGTACAGGCACCAGGCAGAGACACGCCACGGTAAAGAGGATGAACCCTCACGCCAGAGAGGTACGGGTGTGCAGGCAATATTATGCGATCCAACTGGAAATCACATGTACTGCCAAAGGGGCAACTTTCCTGTGCAAAATATTCAGCACCCGGTACCGAGCCTGCCTCTTTCGGAGTTACAACATGCATGCACCTCTAAAACGCTCCCCATCACCGCAGTTTGGCCTCTCTGACCAAAGTTCTGGCTTGTGCCACCGTGAGAAGAAAGTGCTACCGTCCACTCACAATTCATAGACGTTCCCTAACAGAGCACCCCAGGCCCTGATCTGCTAAGAAGGTTAAAGGACACCACCACCTCTGGCTCAAGCATGTTTTTAAAACCGAGTTTGACATATTGAACTGAGTTTCCATTATTTCACAGGAGTTGATACTGCAAGTTGGCCCTGTACATCGTACAGATCCATGCCTTCATCTCTGGCTAAAAAGATGAAAACATTTTAATGTTTCCCTGGTGCATTTAGGCTTTAAAGACACTTTGCATAAAACGTCTCTCTCTTTTAATACTTGCGAGTATGTCGGCTACGGACTTCGTCAGCCAAATAC